TAGGAAATATTTCTACCTTAACGCATTTCTCTCTTAAAAAAAATTGTCCCCTTCCTTCAGCACTTCCCCTCTTTTTTATGTATATAGGCATTACCATGATAAATAATGCTTCCTTTGAAATAAGGTTTTTAACGCACTTGTTTAAAATATGAATGTTGAAAACAAAGGTTTTTTTAAAAAACTTGTTAAAAGTAAATACTTTTGTTTTAAAAAAATGTGGAAGTCAACAAATTGAGGGAAAATATCATATAGCTTCAAATTGTAAGATCATATCGGATAACATGTCAAATGACAATATTAACACATTAGAGAGTTTTTCCGAGAGTAAAAGTCATATGGATAAGATGTTACCCGAAAGGCTTTTCACGATGGAGGTTCAAAGACTTTGCTCACACTCAAATACTGGATTTTTGAATAATGAAGTACATTAACTCATTAGTCCAGATGACTAGTAGGTTAAATAGATTCCAGAAGCTATACGAGTCATTCCATTGAAATGGTTAATCACATAATCGTGCTTGGAATAACTCAGTCAATAAGGATAAACACATTAAGCATAAGGCTTTGACGTATTGGAATCTTTTTGTAAGGATAGACTTGAAACTCATATGGATGGTTAACTTGTTAGACGAAGGTCTAACTTGTTGAAGAATAGAATTTGGGAGTTCAAGTATAGGATAGCACATTAAATCAAGAATTAACACATTAGAGATGGAGAAAACTCTGTTAGAAGGATTTGAAGCATTTCTAACTTTTAGCACTCAAAATATTAACTTCCAATTTTAAAAATCATTTGAATGCAAAACGAAAATGAATATCTTTGAAATCATTTGTATGCACTTTAACAATGAGTTTTAAAAAAAAATTTGGATTGTGCATTTGAAAATACGAACACATAGAAAATTATGCACAATTCTATTTTCGGTCCATTTAGCAATCGGAAAATAATTTGAAGATCATAAAAGATTGATTGCTAATGGAATGCAACAAGGAACAAGCATTCATTACCCAAATATGAATTTCATATCAGCACAGTAAAGGGTAAAGATTAGATATCACCATATTTTCTCTTGTCCTTGTGACAGCTTGCTTGATTTGGATGGATTAGTGTTGATTTTTCTTCTTTCCACATTCAGTACCAAAATCCATACCAGATCAGCTTTCTCAAGATTTGTTCATCAATTCCTTTGTGGTCACAATCTTGAGGAAAGGCTTTCTCCCTTCTTCCTTAGGTACTTGGAGGATTGCTTTTGCATACCCAATGCATTTTTCTGTGAGGTTGAGACTTTCGATTCCTCGCCTTGGGTGCTTGCAATGTTCTCTCATAAAATGTAGACTCAAGGAGTCTTCTGCTTAATGCTTGAGAGATCCTCCTTTTCTTATTCTCCTCAAGGTAATCAAATTTTACATTGTGGTAGTCCATCCTTGAGGGGCAACGTACTCCTTTGGCTTGTATCCATTGCTTCTTATGATTGGACTTTGTAATTCCAGCAATGGGTGCTCTAAGAGTTCTCATGTTGATCATGTAAGTAGCTCTCTTAGGCACTTTCTTCTTCTTTAGGCCAATATGTCCGTTCTTAGAAACATCCTGCAAAATTAAAATACTAGAAGGACATTTTGGTACCCATTTTGCTTTGGGTCCTTGAGTGTTAGCGTTGGACTTTACTTGTCCTTTGGGAACCCAAACAAATTTATTTCTCACATTAGGATTTCTTCTAAAATAGCATGCGTGAGAAATGTGACCTGATTTACCACAATAATTGCAAATAACAGAATGATATCCATTATGAGATTTTATGCAAATATTGCGTTGGTCAAAAGAATGCAATCTTAAATTATTTCTCTTTGTAAGTTCTTTCTTCCTAGTAAATTTTCCACCATAATTAAAAACATTTTTACTTTTGAAAACAGAATCAATGACTGGTTGAACAACAGTTTTATGCAAACTTTCAAAATCATTTTTCATAAATAATGTACTAGAAGAATTGGGACCGTTTACCTTAAGTGCATCTTGAGCTCCAAATAATGATTCATCATATTCGTCCATACTGAGCTCTTCTTGATGCTCATCTTCCTCTTGTTCTTCTGTGTTGACAGACTTATGGAAGTATTGTGTGATTTCACCTTCTTCGATCTCGACTTCCATTTGTTCACTGAGAGTGGATGATTGTGTATCGCTTTTTTGATCAGTCTCAAGTGAACTTTCTTCACATTTAGCTTCAACACAAGTGTTAGAAGTATAACAAGAGTCAAGAGTATCTAAAATATTCTTGGCAGTAGAGCAAGATCTGATTTTCTCATAATCAGTTTCAGTTAAAGCACTATACAGAATTTTCATTGCTTGAATGTTCAAAGAAAACATTTTCTTTTCTTTTTCGGTCCAATCCTTTCTTCGTTTAAAAACAAAATCATTTGTAAAAACATATCTCATATCAAAATCAATAGTTTTCAAAAATCGTATCATACGAGCTTTCCAATACCAAAAATCAATATCTTTGAGAAATGGTGGAATTGTATAATCAAAACCTTCAAAGTCAGCCATGATCCTTGCACTTGAGATCGTTAGATCCTTTAAACAAGTGACCTGCTCTGATACCAAATGTTGGAATGGCTGAACACCCAAGAGGGGGGGTGAATTGGGTGTTGATTAAAATTAAAAATCTTTTCGCAATATAATGAAATTCATAAGGAATTCTGAGTATAAAAAACAATGAATCGAGATAAGCATAATCACAGTAGTAAAATGGTTTAGCTGGAATTATAAAGAGGTAAGGGAAGAGAAGATGCAAACAGTGATTTATCCTGGTTCGGTCCTCACTGACCTACGTCCAGTCCCCAGGCTCCCCCTGAGATTTTCAATCGACTATCTCCCTCAAGTTTAACACGGGTACTTGAGAACCACTACAATCACAAGTTTGATCCGGGCACTTGTGACGCCACTTACAATTCTTAGACTAATCAGTTTGTTCAGCAGCAACCTCACACCGAGGTAAATACTCCCCCTTACTCACCGTAAGGATACAATCTAATAATGATAATGAAGATTGAATATTTCTTCTCTCAAAGAAGTGATAGACGACTCTTAAGCACGTTTGGGAAACTCTCCTCTCTATCTTACGAATACATAAGTTTTAATCTATGAAGTACAGAGACAGGGAGTTTTCTTTCGGAGCTCTAAATGAGAATACGTTGCTTCGGCATTTTAGCACTTGATGTTGTAAGCTCAGACTCTCTCTTTTTTTATTTATTCTGAATGCTCTTCTATTTATAGATGATATTAGGTACTTGACCGTTGAGCATTTTCTTCCCGTTGGGCTTGAAGAATATGACCGTTGAAACTAGCCGTTGGAAGCTTCTGATGAACGTCGATTCTTCACATCATAAATTTGTTGTGGCTCTTTACCTGAAATAATCTTCCTCAAATCAAGTGATAAGTATCTGATAATCTTTAAAACAATAAGTTGGAAAACATGGAATCAGTCATCAGATATTCAGATGTTCAGAAAGTAAGATGAACTTACTTGATCGATGTCTTGATCGATAAAGCTTTGATCGATTATATTATCGATTAATTACATGAAGAAAAGATATAGCAGATAGATGCAATTATCGAATAGATTATGGATCATATGATGATCGAATAAATGATCGATAAATGATGAAGCATGAATACAGTGACCCAAAAATGATTTATGCATGAATAAACCTTTTCAAGTTACGTTTGCCTTCGAGTCTTTTCGATAAAGAGTTATATGTTAAAAGAAGGCTGAGAAAAGCTTGAAAGAAAATAGATCATTGATTTTAAGAATCATCATAGTCGATTGATGTTTAAACGGAAAACGTTCCATGATCGAACAAGTGATCGAACACTTGTTGATCGAACAGATTATCGATAATCCAAGTGTTACAGAAATGAAACTTCAGTCATTGATGATCGAACAAATTATCGATAAATGGATGATGGATAAGGTTATCGATAAACAAAGTATTATAGAAACAGATATTAAACCAATAATAATCGAACACATTATCGATAAACAAATAATAGATAACCTTATCGATAAACAATAAGCAAAAGTATATTCGGAGAAAACACATGCTATGTAGGTTGATCGAATAAGTGATCGATTAATGAGTGATCGATAAAGTTATCGATAAAGTAAAACAAGGAGATTTAATCATGTAAATTCAAAGAACTGATTTATCGATCACGTTACGTGAAAAACAGGGTAGACATGTAAGAGCAATGATCGATCATATTATCGATAAATGACTGATCGATGAGGTAATCGATAAATGGAGACTAAAGCAAAACATAGAATGAGTAGAACGTATTACCATTTATCTGTCTTCTCATCGATAATCTATTTATCGATCATGCTATCGATAAATGCCTATTTATCCATAACGTTAACTTTGTTTATCGATCAAGTGATCGATAAATACATCTATCCATAATGTTATCCGAAAACCATTTATCCAATAGGTTATAAAACCTCAATAATGCATATGAAGATAAGAGAGAAGAATTAAAGAGATAGTACCAGGAACTCGATAAAATGATCGAATATGTAGTTGCTTGATCAGGCTCGAGTAACATCTGATAATGGCTTTTCATTTCCTCATTTCTTCTAGTGCTTTTACTCAATAACATGTTTGAGTAGTATGTTGTTTGAGAGCTTAATCAATCAATGTAGAATTTCTGGTCTTTGCCTCAATAAATTCGAAGTCTGATTCAAGCAGAACGAAGGTCAACTTTGAGTGATCATAACTCTTCCAATTCAACTCCAAATTTTGCAAATGACCTATCCCCAGAAAGCTATTTGAGTCTACTTTCTAGTGCAACAAGAATCACCCCAAAATTCATTGTGGTTGCAAAGTTATCTTCATCACAATGACTAAAGGTCGGAATAAAGGCGTTAATCCTTACTGCAATCTTTCGAGCAACATATCTCCCTCATATGAAACTCTTTGAAGGTGAATTTGGTGTCCATGAACCGTGTTCTGAGTCTAGTTTCATAGAAATCAAGTTTCACCTCAAACGGATTTGTGGTTTGAGAGATATTGAAGAAATACCAAACCTATGTCAGAGCTGAACGAAGAACAGAGTATAACAGAGGATGTATTTTATCGATAACTTGATCGATAAATGGATGATCGATCAAGTGATCGATAATTGCCCATGAAAATCACCTCTGAAGCTTATTTTTCATGTTTATATGAAGGGTGACTCAATATATGATGGTATAACTTCCCGGTTGTATATTTTAGCTTCCGACTGAGCCATCCAAACTTTTGATTAAGTATAGCAACGTTTAACATCAAATCTATGAACTTGAATCTTGATATTTTCATTTGATCTTGCAAGTTCTTCTTTTCTCAATCTCTCTTCTTCTTCTTCCTCTTGATCATTCTCCATAACTCAAAGTGTAACATAATATCTCCTTTCTTTTCTTGAGGAAACTACATAAGATAGTAAGTATGATAGCTAGTCAAAATATGAGATAAATAATTTATGTAAACTTTTTGCTCTATTATTTGACATCATCAAAACTAATCATATCTAACATACTTTACTGTCTTAGACCCTTCTCCTGATCTATCTTTAGTCGGTTCTTTTCAACTTACATTCTTGTCTCTCGCCTCATCTTAAGGATTTGCCCGTCAATACCCAGTCTGTTTCTATGTCACATGGAGTTCTTCTTGTATCTAGAGCTAGCCTGAATGTCTCTTTTCCAGGTCTTATGGCTCTAACTCCTCTAACTTTGGCTTTCCTCTATTAATCGGAAGGAAATTGAATCTAGCCTAATCAATGATAAAGTTATTTGGAAGGAAATCATGGGTACTCTCTCAATACTGGTTTACAACCGAAGGAGGTTTCCACATCCTCAACTCATCCCTGGTCCTCATCTTCCCAAATAGGTACCAATCTCTGGGAGACTTAGACCATAGGACTAAGTTAAGTCATCTCCACTCAGTTGGTCACCATACCAATAATTCCCCAAAACTGTTCTAAGAACCAATACCATTTTCTTAAGCCTCCTGTCAATTCCCCAGGCCACCTATTCGTCTCTTTAGGTGCCTAAGCCAATTTGTCTTAGGAGTTCTCTTACTCCTCCAGCTGCTCTTATCGTCTCTTACTACTTTAGAACGGTACAGAAAGAGGACTTATGCAACTTCTCTTTCCTCTACTTTGCTTTTCAATACGAGCATACTCTAGCATGCATAATGTCTAGCATCTTAATGCAAGGAGTGTAAGCTCTTACTGGTTGCTATGTCCGTAGCGTGCCAACCAGACATCTTATCCCTACAAGAGGGAGCCTCTTTTCTGTTCACAGCTGCTTCTGGAAGTCATAGGGAGAGGACTTTTGAGGTTCTTTTTCTTTCTGATTACTCTAGTACTCTACTAAGCTCAGGTACATCTAAGCCTAGCTTCATTCTTGGCTAGTCATACTTCCATTAGGTAAGGTCAACTCCACTTGCCTTGCCTCGGCTGCTTCCCTTTCCCACTCGGATAGGGCATTTTGCTCCATCTTGAGCAACATCAATTCTAACTTGGAAGACCAATTCCCATTTTCTCTAGGAAGATTCCTAGCCAAGAACTTATCCCTTGAAAAGGGTGCCTCTCAACCTAAACTCCAAGCGACTGAGTATCTTTTAACATTAAGGGGAACATGCCAACCTCTAAGCTAGTTCCCTGCATAGCCATTTGTCTCGTCCTCTTCTTCTTGATCCTTAAGACATTTCACTAGGGCTCTCCATCTTAACTTCACTATCTCCAGGTTTCCATTCATTTCTTCCAGAACTTGAGATAGCTATTCTATCATGAGGCCCTAGTCTTAACGAGGCTGTAAGAGTTTGTCTAGCTTAGGTTGCCACTCACACCTTCTTAATGGTGTAAAGACTCAACCCCTAACTGTCTCATTCAACTCCTCATCATTACTCTTCCTCTTAAGGGGGAATCTAATAATTCTAATCGGGGGCTACCTCTCTCTTTCTAACTTCTACTAATCTCACTCTTTGCAACCTCTGAGAGTCGTTGTATTTCGTTGAGATACCACCTCAATATCTAAGATTTATTGTGTCCATCTGTCATGACCAGAACCCTTGTTGGCAGGATAGAAGTTACCACCTTCTTTGGTAATCACTCTGTATTCGTCCATCGCCATTAATTCCCTTGGTTTGTCATGACAAAACACACTTTTCTCTTAACCTCTGTTAGTCTTGGGTAGCTTCATTTATCATACCATTGCCTATATAGGCATCCGTTACAAAGTTTAATTTACTTTCGGATTTAACTCTATTTCTCTTGAAGGTAGGATTAGGGTTTTGTCCTTACTGTTATGGGAAGGCAACCAATTCAATCCATCACCACATCCGCTTCGTAGAAGGTCTACATATCAAGTTTAAGGCACTATAACAGTGCTCAAAACCAACTATACCGTTTAAGCACCCATCAGATGTAATTGTCCTATTATATGTTGGTATGGACATATATATATATATATCATATGGGAACATATTCATAACCAAGTCAAGTCCTTTAAAACAATCATATGAGAGAAGAAAATGATTAGCACCCTAATGTATCACTGCAATTATTGGGAAGTTCATAATAATGATTGTTCCTTGGATCATTTTTGAAAACTTTTGGGCTTCTTTCCCTGTGATGGCAAGTACTCATCCTTAGGTGCGTAACCTTAGCTTCTTTGTATTATATGGCCATTCTCTCGTAAAGTGTCTGGACTTGCTGTAAAACCCTTAACCTCAAAACATTATAACTTATCATAAAATCACTACTATGGTAGAAAAGGAAATCTGTTAAATGAACTACCATAGTAGGAAGAAATTTGCATAATTTTGAATTTCACATTTAAACTGTTGCATGCAACTAAAATAATCCATTCATATACATCTACTGGGCCTCCGAGCCTCCGGCCTGGGTAACAACAGACATCACATTAGCCCATCTAAGTGATTCCCAACAAAATGATCCAGAGTTCATAAAACACTAGCAATGGCCTCCGGCCAACCAAAATAAGGAGATACATTCTCTCCAGTTTACGACAAGGCCGGGTAATCAAATATTTCAAAAAGCAGTCCTAAACGCGGCAATATATACTAGTCATACATATACAAATGTTAGAGGCCTAAAGCTAACCAAGCTCAAGCCTCTGTGTCTCTTCCCGATGGCCCACGCCTGGAACCTTCACCTAAAAACATTGTAAACCACAGGGTGAGACAAAGTCCCAGTAACCAACCTTTCCAATACTAGGTACTACTAAATAGGTGCTCGTGAGGTGTCAAGTGGGGCAGTTCACAAATAATATATAATGATAGCCACAACAATTCATGCAAGTGCAATGATGCAATCCCATCAACCAAATCCCTCACTTTGGGGGATGTTCAGGAGCCAAAGCCGGCCTATCCCTCACTATGGGGGACGTAAGGAGCCATAAAAGGCCTATCCCTCACTCTGGGAGACGTAGGGAGCCAAAAGGCCTATCCCTCACTATGGGGGACGTACTAAGCCAGCCATCATGCATTAATGGAGGCCTTACCACGTGGTAGTAATAGACAAAACTCTCACCAATTCCCAATTAATGCATCATGCTTAAATCATAATCAAAGAGTAATAATCATTTCACAATTAACCTCATTCAGTGGCATATCTTTCACAATACCAAAATTCATTCATCATTAGTCGAAACCCCACAAGACGGTTTTCCTTTTTATACACAACATACAGTTTGAACATAATTACTACTTAGAGCACAAAACATAAATCTACTCACAAAACCACAGAAGCAAGTACTAAGGATTGGAAAGTGGTTACCTCTCGCCTGAGCAAGGAACAACAAACCAACGATGTGGCCCCGTGCACCACCAAGACTCACAACCGGTATACACAAGCACACAAACACACAACCATCATATATTAGCTTTCAAACTAATAATGTGGCCAAAACAACACTTGGGGACACAAAATTCCTACCTCCCATCAAAACTCTACCCTACTCAAAGGGTATAACTATCAAAACAACACTCCAAGGTCATACCAATCCATTAAAACCTTAATTCCTTTCCAAACATCAATTAAAAATTCAAACATCAAGGACCCACTATAAGAATTCAACACCCAAACATCCCATTTGAGCAATTAAGGTTCCAACAACAAATCTAAACCGATTAAACATCCAATTTAACCCTCCTTAACACAACCCAAATCACAAAACTCAGAATCAACCTCTACATTATCATCCTCAATCCCAAATCATCTATCTCCATAAACCCTAACTCCAAAAATTCAAGATTCTTTAAATCCAAGGAAACTACACCGATTAAATACTTAAACTAACCCAAAGCAATCAATTAAACTCAAAACAATCGGTCAAAAACCTCAATTTCATCACAACATAGAAAATCCTAGGGTTCCACCAAAAATCCTCAGAAATTCCAAGAAATTCCAAGAAAGAAAGAAGATTAGAGGTTAAAATCACTTACTTGAGGTAATGGATCCTTAGAAATGCCCCCTCCAAGCCAAAAGTTCGAAACCCTAGCAGAGCTCCTCTCTCCTCCTTCAGATTTTTCTTATTTTCGCACGTTGAACCCTCCCGCGACTATATAGAATCGGGACCTTTCGCCGCGGCGAACCCCAATCTTCGCTGCGGCGAACTAATCCCGAGAGGGATTACTCGCCTGAAAACCTGACTTCGCCGCGGCGAACTCCAATCTTCGCCGCGGCAAAAGCTTCCCGAGAGGAAACTCTCGCTCGCCCAGAAAAACTTCGCCGCGGCATACCTTTACCTTCACCGCGGCGAAACCTTCCCGAAAGGAAAGCCCCGCTCACCTGAACAACTTCGCCGCGGCGTCCCCAAGACTTCGTCGTGGCCAAACCTTCCTGAAAAGACACTCCCCTCTGAAACTCCCGGTGCGCCGCGGCGAAGTAAACTTCACCGCGGCGAACATACCCTGAGAGGGGTACGTTCACCTATTCCTCCAACAAACCT